CACTCACACACACACATGCAGACACGCATACGCATACACACACATGCAGACACGCATACACACATGCAGACACTCACACACACACATGCAGACACTCACACACACACATGCAGACACGCATACACACATGCAGACACGCACACACACATGCAGACACGCATACACACATGCAGACACGCATACACACATGCAGACACTCACACACACACACATGCTGAATGCTCCATTACACCTTCCTAAAGCATCAGCTGCCGACAGAAAGGCATCAATACCTGCTCTAGGACAAAAGAGTGTGATGTGTGTGGCATGGTGGTAATTACCTTGTTATGGCTCGTCCATGTTTTATAACAATGTACAGAAACAGGATTGTGTCATGGCATCCAGATCTTCCTGCCACAGCCCGGTTATCCTGGGAGGAAAGTCTGAGAGATGGCATATGGACAGTAGGGAGCATTATAGTTAAGGATAAGGACTAAGAAGGTTCCCAGTTTAATTCAGATAAACTACTGCATTTGTATGCTTGAACAAATATGTTTATTAATTTGCCTGGCTCATTAACTAATAAAAATTTTAAATCACTTATAATAATTACTAAGAATTAATTGTAACAGAAATCGTACTTATTTAAGCATTAGAATGGCCTTTTTTTCTCTGCTTATGAAATTGAATATTGCCTGACTAATCAGTTTCAGTGATTTTATTAATGAAACCCAAGAGTATGGCCTGTAAGCCGAGGTTTTAGCTTCAGATGAATTCCTGTGATCTACAGCAGTTGGTAAACTCACATGCTATGTGCTGTAGATTGATTTTGCTCTTGGAAATCCTGTAAAATTGCAGTAGATCACTGATCTCCTGCCCCCTGGCTGTCAGGAATCCATCGTCTCTGTGCGGTTGTGTGTTAGCAGACTTCATCACCTCCTCTGACACTGCACTCGTGTTACACTCCTTTTATCAACAGCCTTTTGTTTAGTGCCGAACCACACGGCAATAAATCTGCCCCCCAGAAGACCATACCTTTTATCGTTGCTTTTCTCTTCCCCCCCACCCCCCCACCCCCCGTCCCGCTCCCGCCCTGCTTGCGTTTTCATGCTCGCTGCTGCTACCTCCGCTAACTGTAGAGGAGTGGTTTAACCAAGGTGAGTGAGTTCCCTCTTACCTCACTTGCATCACACTTGCATCGCCTGTTTGTCTTTCCTAGAGCCCCCCTAGCTGTAATGTCCTCTGTTGACCATACTGCTACAGGAAGCAGGGCTCTTTGAAAAGACCCCAAGGTGGGACCTTGTGCTTCACCCCCAGCTGTTGCGGATAACCCCCCCCCCCCCCGCCCGATTGGTTGACCCAGCCTCACCCCTACTCTCCCCATCAGCTGTACAAGGCTGAACCTCAGTCTGTTGCCATTCCCCCAATCCTCTACATTCCATCTAACACTTGCCTACATCTCCCAAATAAACCGTCACCTTCCGGAAAACGCCGCCAGCACCCTTGTGTCTGACGGGGCGGCCCGTTTGCCAGAAGGCGACACCTAACCCTGCTCTCCCCCTCCCACCCGAACCAGGCAGGAAAAATGGAGAGAGTGAGAAAAGCTACGACACACTGGACCTGCCCAAGCGGACGGAACCCACCAAAGGTATGAGCGCGACTGATGCATGAGGGATCCATGAGGCATTCTGTCCAGCCCAGAAAAATCAGTGCCCAAGCCACTCTGCCTTATTATGCCAAACACAGGCAAGTCCATGGCCCCCCATAGGCCAAGAGGGGCATCTCCTTTTATGAGGAGACAGGAGACTGACATGTTTTCAGGGTAATGAGAGCTTCTTCTCGGGAATGTTACAGGAATGGCTTAACAATTCGAATTTAATACCACTAGCAGGGGTCTTCATAGTGTTCTTCAGTTAGCAGGAGGCACCCGTCAGTTAGCAGGAACTTCCGTGCCGCCCTTCAGTTAGCAGGAGCCACCCTTCAGTTAGCAGGAACTTCCGCACCGCCCTTCAGTTAGCAGGAGCCACCCTTCAGTTAGCAGGAACTTCCGCACCACCCGTCAGTTAGCAGGAGCATCCATATTGTCCATTAGTTTGCAGTTTCCTCTATTTGGTTGAAAAAAATCTGTTTTTTGTGAGGGGATGGGGAAATAAAATGTTAGCTGCTTTTTTGTCCCTGAACTTGTTGAATGGAGAACTGGAGTCAGCACTATGAAGATTATGGGTATTTTGTCTTTATTTGTTGTGAGATGGTGACGGGTCACAGTCGCTGTTTGTGCTGTGGTTAGCTCTCTCTGAATCACTGTGGGATGCTTGTTTTCTAACCACTCCAGATCCAGATGCCAGTGAGAGCCCCAGACCATGAAGGTTTTTGCTGTGCTGAACCCAGGTTAATGGTCCCAGCATTTTATTGTTGTTAGGCTGCTTCCCAAGGACCAGGAACCCTGGTCACTTTTGAAAAAACAGCCTGCCTTCCAATATAGCTAGTGCAGGTGATGGTGGAGTGCCCCCTAATGGAACAGTGGCAAACTACTGTTTCACCTACATAGTAGTAAAGACGACTGTACTGAGAATGATTGCTGCACCACATAATAGACAGTTCCTACTGAAACAAATTAAGTTAAGAAGAGGTTTCACAGCATGCTGGAAGATTGTGTTAAGGAAGGGTATTTATAACTCGGGGAATATATACTGAGAGGAGTGAGATATGAAAACACAAAGATACAAAGAGTGATCATTTTAAGGGTCTATGAAGGAACTGGCTGATTCCACAGTCACTCAGTTATGTGTCACAGGAAATGCATCAGAGGTGGGATAGCTCATGAATTCCCTCCGTTCTGATTTCATGGTTTCATCTTCCTTTCTTCGAACAAGAAACAGGAGGATTCCAGAACCTGACGGGCCTTTGATTCACCCGGATTTCACTCCTGTGCCAGTCCCTTCAGGTGTTCTAATGTCCACTGACGTGCTGCAAAGCCTGAGCGTAACCGGGCGCTGATATGCATATGAGCTACTGAAGGCGAGCTTAGCGCCCCCTGCTGGATGTGGTGGTACACTGTGGTCGTCTTTGCCCAGGTCACAGATTTCCCAAACCCAGGACTTCCCCCAACAGGACCTTCTACTTTTCTGGCTGCTGGGGACACTGATAATCACCTCAATCTGACTTAAATCATTCAGTGACCCCCACAGGTGCTTTTGGAAGCCCTTCATGGTACAGAAGCTAAAGTCTACTCAGTTTCCTTTAGTAATAACCAGTGTGGCTCATCGCTTGTTCATTAAACAGCCTCTGTAATGCTGTATTATCCGGTTTGGTGTTTTTCAGACAACTCCTTCCGGAAGCCGGAGTGGGGGAGCGTCCTCACTTCCTGTAGCTGAGGCGTGCGTGTGTGTGTGTGTGTGTGTGTGTAGCTCCAGTCGATTCCTGCTTCGGAATCAGTAACACTGCAGAATTGATTCTCGATTCTTCGGTATGCGATGACCCCGCTGGCCGCGCCTCGGGCCACGAGAACGCCGATGCGGGTGGAAGTCAGAGATGTGGTGTGAATAGATGGCAGGCTGATTCTCACGGCCCAGATATCTCCATCCAGAACTCTCTGTTCCACGGTATGGGTTGCCAAACACCGTCTGTGTGCCAGGGTCCTTTGCTGGGCCTGACTAAAGTAAAGGTATTTACTGTTGGAGAGACCGGAATGCTGTTTGTGAGCAGGCATCCGTGCTTCCTGACTGTGGACTTTTCAGTTCCATTCCAGTTCCCACCCCTGCTGTCAAAGCTAACACAGACCTGCCGGTAGTCCCTGTCTCTGCTGCTGTCCCTGTCGTTGTCCCCGCTGATGTCCCTGCTGTTGCACTGTGACAGTCGGCTGCCTCAGCCAGCCCTCCTAAATTTTCAGTGTCTCATTAGAATTAGATTTTTTAGAATTTGGTGATCATTGGTCATTGTTGACACACCACAGCACACGGTGCACAACAACGAAACGTGTCCTCTGCATTTAACCCATATGTGACATCGTGACATAGCAGGGGGCAGCTAATTCAGCGCCCGGGGAGCAGTGCGTGGGGGCGGTACCTTGCTCAGGGTACCTCAGTGGTGCCTTTCTGGTCGGGGATTTGAACCAGCAATGTTTCAATTATAAGTGCGCTTCCCTGACCATTAAGCCACCACTGCCCAATTCAATTTAGTTCCAGCGATGTTGCTAAATCGTGTCTGGAAATTCTGAAATGACTTTTGCTGAATAGCTGGTGGTGGAGTGAGATAAATACCACCAAACTGAAAGGAGCCTGGGGGCTCTGTGGTGATTTTGGGACTGATTTACCCCCGCAGCTGCCCCCACCCCCAGCAGGATACAGGATGATTACAGTGTACCATTAAAACTGAACGGAGCCCACACTAAGATTTGCTTTTCACTTTGCTTTTGTTCATTACCTTGTTTTGGTTTGTTTTTGTCTCTGTGATACTGAATCTCGAGATGGACAAATTGGAGGGGTATTTAGCTTGGGCTATATGCTGCCCCAGAAACCCACAGGAATCCTTTGCTTTTGGGTTTCTAATACAGGGACCTCGAACCCCCTTTGCTGTGAACACTGTAGCATTGAAGTTATTGGATATCTTTGTTGGGTTTGTAGTGTTTCCCGGATTAGGTGGTTGCACTCTCTCGCGTCAGATCATTTGCGGTTGTGTTGTGTTCACACAGCCTTGTGGAGGTCAGGAACAGTCCACATTTTTACCTGGAGCTGGGAAAGAGGAAAACTATGGACTGTCTGTGGGTCCCCAAGGACCGGATTGGGAAACGGTGCCCTAAACGAGCCCACTGCTGCCCATCACACTAATACACCCTCACAGTCACCCTGACAGCCGTGACTGTTCCTGCATTCCCACTGTACAGAAATGGCTTTGAAACACAGCCCAGGATTCCCAGAAGCCCTTTCTGCTTCCCGCACTGGTAGGCCCGGTAACAGGCAGCGGCCCGCTGAAGCTGGGAGGGGACGTGTCAGGTGCGGCCACACTGCAACTGAAATGGAAAGTCGCTCGTCCCGTTTATCAAACCTGTCGCTCGGCCCCCAGTTTCCATGCCAATTCTCCCCAGCATTGGCCGAGAGCATTCCTATCTGGAAGCATGGAGAGAGATGGCAAGAGTTAGGAGGGAGACGGAATCTAAGCCGACCTGAGACAGATTTCACGACGTATTTTTATGTTAAACGTTGTGACCACTTCAGACTAACCGATGGAGAGAGGATTTTGAGTGTGCGCATCCATGTGTGTGTATTTCAGTGCTCGCGTTTGATAAGATTCTAGAACCATCATTGGTAATTTGGACTCTTAAGGCGAAATCGCACTGGAAAAATAATGAGGCTGTCTAAGAGAGGAGCCATAAAACACCAGAGCGCCACCTTGTGTGTGACTGCAGTCATAATAAAAATTAAGTAAATAAACTAATGCTGTTTGTGCACTTGCTTTCTGCTGCTCATTGGGCTGCCTATCTCATTGCTAATGGACATATTTGTTGGTTTTAGGGAGATGTAGTCTCCATGGCAACAGAACCAGCTGGCACTTGTGTGCTGTTAGACTCACTGCATGATGCGTCTTTTCTCCTCTTTCCTGCCCCCCCACCCACCCATCAGCCTCCTTCTTCTCTCTTGTTTTCCCCATTTGAATACAGTGGGGGGAGTTCAGCTCCCCGGGATGTCACTTCTCCTCTGCAAACATCAATAAAACCTCCTCAGACCCCAGGACCCCTTGACTGCTCTCTCTAGCCTCGTCTGCTTCTCTGGGGCCTCCGGCTGAGTGGGAAATTGGGGCAGCCTTCATACCCGCCATCCCAGCAGTGCAATGCGATGATGTAACCTCACTGCGAGCGTGGGGGTCCGCTCCCGCATCTTGCTCTACGTTCTGCCGGGATCCACGACTTCTTTCTGTAGATGTGTTATCATCGAATCAGGAATGTGGTCACCCCGCAGTCAGACCTTCAGGAGATCCCTGGAACTGAGTGGCTCTTTTCTGGAGATGGACGCTGAGGCTGATCCAGCCTTGGTGCTAGTTTGCTGGTGGAAACCCTACAAGGACACCATTTCTCCCATTAAATTTACCTCATTGAAACTGCACAGGAAAAGCCAATCGGCTCGTTTGATTGGCTCAGACGGGGGCATATTAGTATCAGTTCCCTTCAGACGCCACTGCAGCTAATTCTGTCATATCCCCCGGAGTGTGAAAAGAACTCGCATATGACAGCAGTAATAACAGGCGTAAGGAAAAGATGTAATTTAATCTCTCGCAGATCCAGCCCAGGATGCTGGGAGGTTAAATATGTACATAGATTATATCTGTGATATTTATGACATGACCTTTAAAACCAATTTGAAACGACAATGTTGATTTAGTTTGGGCCTGACGGAAGGGGTCTCTGTGCCGCCCACTCTCTTTGTTCATGGGATATTCTGGCCTGGCAACATGTTATTTTTTCCCCCACTGGTAGCTTTTTGTTACTGGTATTGGCTGTTTTTGTCACCTGTGGGCATGATGGACGCATGTATCAGCCAATCATCAGTTGGTTTCGGCTGACAGTCCTGTTTCTTATTGGCCAATGCAGGAGTAGCACTGAATTATCACTGCTTTTCTCATTAGTAGGTCTGTGTCTCTTCACAGGAGCGTCACAGATGTTATGAATGGATGCATGAGGTCTGGGTGCAATGGGTGCAGAGCTGGCATAAATGGAAACAAAGAATAAGTATTCCTTCCCAGTCTGCTGGCTGCTGTTTATCAACTTGGAAAGGCCGGCTCTGTCCTGCCCCAGAACCTCACCTCTGTCTAAAGCAGTGAACTCTGGGATATCGAAACCCCAAGTGGGCAAAGCGTTCACATTGAAACATGTTTGAAAAAGAAGTCTGACTAAAGCTTCCTCATCCTCGCAGCTAAAGGTTTCTGGGGCAGCTGAGTGACCTTGATGGGACCCCTGCAGCGCGTCTCGCTTGGCTTGTGATCTGACGAGGCTGTTCTTACACCTTTACAGTGAACTTTCTTGTACTTTATCTGTGTGGAAGAGCACTTCAACACTATGGTTATCCCCCTGAGTCTCCTGACTGTACTAAGGCAGTGTCAGCTGAATACAGAGCTGAGATTCTCCTGTGAAATAGCGCCCCCTGATGGACATCAGGCCAGTGGATGGAGATTGGCGTGCTGAGTATCACTGATTTTTCGTTTTGCTTTCTTATGCCTAATTATGAAGAACCACAGAACTGAACGGAGCGAGGGATAAGGAGGCAGATTTCCCCGGTTCATCTTTTATATGAATTATCCATGACTTGGGCTGGGCTGGACCGGATGGGACTCTGTAATCCCTTACAAAGTGTGGGGCCATTTTTAAAAGCTGTAACCGTGTTTGAATGTGGAGGTCCGGCCGTCAAATGTTTAATGACTGAATTCACTATTTCTCCAATATTCAGTCTGGCTGTAGCCCTGCCTTGTCCAGTGAGCTATGGGAGATCCGGTATCTCACCCCCTTGTCCCTGCCCCCTCCCGACAGGCTTTGAGCTACTGTACCAGCCCGAGGTGGTCAGGCTCTACCTGTCCCTGCTCACCGAGAGCCAGAACTATAACACCTTGGAGGCTGCAGCCGGGGCTTTGCAGAACCTGAGCGCGGGCCAGTGGACTGTGAGTGGGTCTGGGCGGC